TATTATTATTTTATATTAAATTAAAAGTAGTATTCAATACTTAACAAAAAGGAATTTATTCCAACTGGTTAGCCTTTAGTTCAGATTTTTTACTAATGAATCACATTCATATAATTAACTTGATTTGTATTTATATATATATAATACATAATATGTGTAGTTATATATATTTATAATGCATTTTATATTAAAGTTCTAACTTGCACCAAAAAACTATTCCAACTAATTTATAGTAATTTTGACATTATATTTTGTGGTCAACTTTTATTAATTAGATTAATCAAAATCAACCAGAGAGCTAATATATCATGACCTCATATTATGTTTCAATAATAGAACCGAAGTTTTTTGGCTTAGGAATTTTTATTTAAAAATAAACAATATTTCAAGAATTTTATTTGAATAAACACACGAAAAATTCATTTTCAACCTACAGACTTACCTTTAGGGTGTTCTGAGCAGAGAAAACCCTTCATAAAAATTTTTAATATCTAATAATATATGCATACGAGTATAATAATACTGTTTAACATAAGCTATTCATATTTTTGATTTATGTTAAGATACTATCATTAACTATCATCCATATCTTCCCATGGAGCGCAGGTATAGTAAGATGTAAGATACTTTCAATAGGATTAATTGTTTAATGTGATAATAATAATCAATTTATTTTTTAAAATCATTGTAGAACTTTTTGTAATTACAAATTCTTGTAAATATTTTTATGATAAATTTATTATATATGTATATAATGTTAGTGGCTAAAATTTGATTCGCGATTTTAGTACTCTAGGATATGGCCTAATGTCTCTAACTGCTGTTTTTACTGATCTTTAAATAGTGTGTAATTTATTGAGGATGTCGTATATTTATCATAGAGTTATTTTACATTGGATCCAAATCTTCTTCTCTTGAGTATTTTTCTGAAGTCTGCGAACAGATAGTAACGCTAAATTTTTAATCTGGTAAATACCGTGGATGTGAAAGCAACTTAAAACGTAATTCGAGCAATTTGGTCACGATTTGTGACACAGTGTATTATATTGTTAAAAATGGAGTTTTTTCTTGTACATATGGAACTGTTGTTTCGCGATTTTCTCCTTAAAACTCACCAGTTAGGTCATGTAGCATTCAATATTGATAGTCTGACATTTTTAAGGCAGTCAATGAGCGCCATAACTTTGCCAGCTGTCTTTTGCGTCAGCTCGGCTGACTACTGATTTAACTCTAGAGTGTAGTGGTGGATCTCAGTTCATTCCTTGTCACAAACTAATGCAAAAAATCTGTTTTTATGTCGCTTCAACAGCTACACACAGTTCTTAGACTCACTGATACGTTGTTTTTGTGGTCAACTATCATTAAACATTTCCCATAATCAAGAGCTAAAGCAAAATAAATCCACCGTGTTCATTTTAAATCTCTAAGGTGTCAGCCATCTCCTACGATTCCACATCATGGTTTGCTGAAACGATTTTCTGGACTTCTTTAATGTTTTTCACTGTCATCATTACTTTTGAGTACGTTCTGTATCATTATTGTTTGTATGGCCGCGTTTTGCAGTCAGTAAACCACTTCTCTACCATTTGTTCGATAAAATAAAGTTCGGGTAGTACTTACATATAAAGCCAAAATTTTGTTGGCACGGTATTTTTTCCTATCACAAAGCAATGATAAATCAAAACACAATTGCTTCGAATCCATTGCTTTGAAAATATGAAAGTGTCATCAAATATTTAAACGTCACTAAATTTAGACAGGTATCATTTCTAAGTTGACACTTTATATGGATTTTTCATTAGTGTGTCATCTCATGTACTTATCATCCAATGTTGTAAATGTAATCTATTATATATTTTTCGTAAGCCTACAATTCGTTAATCGAATTTCGTAATCAATTCAAAGTACCTTCCTTGAAGTTATAGTTTCGGGGACAGAAAAATGCCTTACGAAGTCATGTTAGGTAAGTAAATTCAGTACATAATTAATCGATCATATTTATCATAAATCCTATAATGAATCCAAAATACCTTCCTTGAAGTTATAGTTTCGTGGACAGAAAAAAACCTTATCTAATCATATCAGGTGATGCTTATATCAGGCGATGACTATATATAACAAATTTTTAGTACTGCAGGACGCACAAAAAAACTACAAAAATAACCGACATTTAAACATTATATAGCAGATCGTGCTTAAATCTTGCACACTAACAAAACACAATGTTACCAACTCATGAAAAAAAAATCGTGGCATTATCCTTAGAGCGTGTTTAAAAATTCTGTGTACTTTTTACACTGATAACATGTAAAATATATAAATTTCGATTTAAATTTATATGAAAGTCGTATAATAGCTATATCAGTAACTATAATTTACATAACTCTTTCATTCAACTTTTTAAATATTTTAATTTCTAATATTTATGCAAAAGACCAATTAAGCCATTTGCAGAAGTACAAAAATAACATTTTCTAAATAAATTCTCATGGCATTCGACCTCTTTGATTATGTTAAGTACATTGAACTCAATAAGTTCAACCGTCACTACTATTTTCATTTCATTTGGAACTTTCATACGTTCTTCCATGTGCAACTTGCCAATTTTTTTTCACGTGAGGTAGGTCGTGGATTTTACAACCGTGGTACATATGTATACACCGCACGATATACATAGGATTTTCGTATATACTCATTCAGATTCTCGTATATATGTAGGTATGCCATACGAGTACGGTAATACAGCAAATGATTGCATTTTATTTAGCTTTCTTTTATTAACAATTTTATCGTTTTTAACGAAAGGCTTATGGAAGGATATGAGCGTGTAAAGGAATAAAATTCACAAGTCACGGATGTAATCCATTCAATTCTATTGATTGACCTGAAAACACCGTTACTGTGCTATACAAATACTGCATTAACGACAGAGCGCACATATCCACAAACAAGCTTACGACTGCAGTCCCTCTACCCGCATTCACAAACTTGTACAATTCGACAATAATGGCACTTCAGTGTTCAGATTATTGGCTTGGCTTTTATCCGTTGCAGTGCGGCATAATGCATACCAAATTCGGTATTGGCGCGATATGGAGCGATATGAGGATGTGACATGATTAAAATAAAAACTGATAATATATTTTTATCTCTTTTTTTACTGGCTCAAATCCAAATATTGTAGAGTATTTTAACGTGAAGAGAGGACTGGGAAGATTCGTAAAAATATACAAAGGAAACTTTAAATTTTAGCACGAATAACAAAATATGATTCTTTAGGGTAAACTGACATTTCAAGATCTCAAAATACAGCTGAATTATTTTGAAAAATATTAAAAAGTTGTATTTTTCATATATGGTACCTATGTATTCATTATCATATCATATGACAAAAACAATATATCCAATTGTTTTTAGTACTTTAATTATTTCTACCCTGTTAGATGTTTTTCAAATTGGTATATAAAATATTTTCTTTAGCAAAAAAGTTAGAAAATAATGGTCATTCAATGTTGATATTCCAAATAAATTAACATTATCCTATATCTTATGCTTCCCCAAATAGCTTAACTAGTACAGCTATTTCAATACGATTTCAATACGATCCTTTGAATTAGTTTATAGAATGTTTTAAAAATTTAATGATACGAAAATTATGGTGGTTTTGTTGAAGATCCATTTTTTAATTTAGATCCATAAAATTTTTAGTATAGCGACATCTATGAATAAAGGATGGTAAGTAATTAAAGTACACATTATCAACTTACTGTTATTTTTATATGGATTGAGTTTTTACATATGTAATATTCCTTTATATACCTCGATCAAAGAAAAACAAAGAAACAAAGAGTTACTCGTTATATTCGAGATTCTAATATGAAATGCTAATAAATGTGTACGGAAACGAATGCATGTTCTGTGTACAGATTTGTTTTATAAGTTTATTCGATTTCGTGATGGTCTTGAGAACGTTGAAGAGGACGAACGATTATCACCATAAAAAACCCCACAGAATTAACATAGTAAAGCATCAAAAAATTCAAAACAATTTTTTGAAGCAATCGCTATATGTTTTATTGAGACTCAGCAGTGTGTATATACTTGGGCTTGTTACCTAATTACTCTAATTTAGGTAACCTATTATGTGAACGGAAGAAACAAAATCTACTTGAACAACAGTCAAGACGATTTATTGATCCTGTACACATCAAAGTTGTTGCTATCCTTGGCCTTAGCAGAAACAATATTAAAATCTACACTGAACTTCTTATAGAACACTTTAGGCTTAATTACCACATGAAGAATATAGGTGCTGAAGAAAGTGTTTTCTGTCGACTCTGTCAAAAGGAGAAGGAAACATCAAAATATATTTTATGCAACTGCTCAGTCGCAGCAAAACGTAAACTTGACTATCTTGGAAGCGAGATCTTAGTCCCAAATAAAATAGATAAAATTGAGCCCACAGCAATTATTGGATTTATAAATTGTTTTAGTTGGGTCCTTAGGCGTACAATAGATCTTTTAGGCCGGAATGCATTCATAGCTTTTTATTTAATAATAACTAATTAACTTCATTGTTTGGGATATCTTAATATATATTATCAGGAAACTAAGATAGAAGGTGTCTCCATTAAAGTGCAACCAAGAAAAAGCAGGCTATAATTTTTCAACTGGTGCCAGTATTTTTCTCGTATTTGAATTCATGACAACTTATTTTAAATTTCTTTAAGTAATTTAAAGTAATATTAAGTTAAACTAATATCTATTTAAGCAATCGTTATCTTATTGTATTCTATAGCAATAAAGTAACCGTGAGGAAGATTTACCGTTATGGTTTTTGGGACCAAATTTTGTTCGTGGCTGAAAATCTTAAGTCGCTATTCATATTGTAGAAACTTACTATAATCTTTTAATTAATTTAATTATTAATTAATTTAGTTAGTGTTCAAAAAAGATACCACAACAAAGACAAAGAATGAGTATAGTGTAATAATATTTACCTCCTTCTTGGTTGGTTTTGGTATCGCTCCATTTAGACAACTGTAAATAAAAAAGAAAAATAGCAAAGCTTTTAATATTTATTTAAATGAATAATGTATTTAAGTAGAAAATTTAACTTATATTTAGTAAATATTTAAAGCATAAAATAATTAAGAAAAAAATTCCAAGGTTACAGTAGTTGTAGTTCACAACTACAATTAAAAAAAAAAATTTGTAAATTTCGTTTGCGTTACTCATTTTATTGGGATCACGGAGCGTATGAGTGATATTTAACTCCATTACTCCAGTACCACACATACCATATATACAGTCAAATTTCCATAACTCGAAGCTTGAACTTGAACTAAATAGAGTGCAACAGGGTTTAGAGAGCAAATGAGTTACAATTACAAAAAATTTCTTTAACTCGAAGTCTTCGTAAATCAAACCATTCCTTTGCAAGATGCTACTACGAGTTATGGAAGTTTGACTGTGTTTATAAATATGTTTAAAAAAGATTTAGAATAAATACGCAACAGAAATGTTTAGGCAAACAAATGCTATTCTGTTGTAAACCCTATTTCATCAATAAAACTAAATAAACTTATGAAACTTCTGCTTTTTAGATGGATTAATTAAAAAGTTTGACAACATTTATAATCAGGAAGTGAGTTGATAGATCAGTACTTAAGAAGAACTAATATAAACTATTTCCGACATCATAGGCTAATGTCATAGGTAAAAGCAACCCATGTGTAATCAACAAACATGCTTATTAGTTTTTCAGTCTAATCGCATAGATCTGAATTCATATTAACTAGATGCGCTCGTGTTAACTGTGATCTTGTAAAATTGGATTTAAAAAAAAACTGACACTTGAAATAAAGTGTTTATAAATAGTGAATGAATTGAGAGCATAAGAGTTTCAAATGGAAACTCTTACACAAAAAATCATCTATCAATTAAAATTTAGTTTTTAGAGTGTAATACACTATGCACTTTTAGAAAACTGATTGAAGTATAGTCTTCCATTCTTTTACAGAATAATTTGTTTCAAGTGATGGTTAGATGTATCTGTCTTAACTGTTATTAGACCAAAACGAAGAGTTTTTTGCGTTTTGCGTTTATTTTTGTTTAGGTCATTTGCTTAGGTTAAAATATTCAGAAGTTAATTAATAACTAATACTATAATAATAATATAATATAATAACTTAATTAAAAAAATAAGAATATTTCCTAAGACCACTGATGATACTCGAAACAGCGTTGCATTGTCAGCCAAAATTCAATAAATTAACTAAAATTTTTGTTGTCTTTTCACATCTATTCGAACCGTTCTAACTCAAAAATATTCATTTCTAAATTTAATTCGGATTTAGCATAAAATTCTACAAAGAAATACACTTTTACAAAATGGTATTTATTATCAGAAGTATTTTTTAATCTTCTAGGAAAAAATTTTGAAAATTTTGCTCGAAGCACTCTTATTAAAAAAAGGAACTTATTAAAAAATTTCGGCAAATTTAGAGGAAAACCATTCCGAATTACATATATACAAGAGAATGTCATAGATAGGTACTCAATATCTGATGATGAACTTTGAATAATAGCACAAATACTACTAGGGAAAGTTTGCAATACAGACGTGAAGTACTGATGGATTGTAGCGAGTGATTTCGACGTGTAATTTTTAAGGTACCACTTCTCTTATAGTTTGTATATCTGTTATTAGTATTAATATACTTTTTTCTTTTTTTTTAATATTATTTTTATATATATTATGTATCTAATTCTCATATCCTTTTTTTATGGTTTTCTGAATTTTAAATTTCTTCATCATTATAGCATTATATTAGTTTTATAATCACGTATATTTTTTCACTATGTTCGAATCACACTTAAATTTTAATTAAAACAGACAACTTAATAGTTATTGTCTCAAATAATCTAATTAATCTATCTATCTATTTTTTTGTACTCTTTGTTAGGATCATTGTATTACAAAAACATATCTGTAATAGCGATAAATTAATAAATTCTTACTTACTTACTTACTACTATTTATTGAAGAGATAGTACACATTAACATAAAAAGTCTATCCCACCTAAGCCAATAATGGCTACCCATGTTCATAACTCTTCGATTTGCGATCAGCTCCCCAACCCATCCCAACAGCTTCGGTGCCGACATCATGTCGACATTGCAAGACCCTCCTTAACAACATAGCCTCGCTACGTGCAGAAATGCATCTTGCTGAACTCTCCGCAAGTCTGCGCCCACCCCACTCCTTTCGCAACAATACCACACCTCATGTAATTTGGTTCAAGCTTTCTGTGGTTTAAATAAATTTAGCTTGTTTAATATTAGGGCTATCTGCTCTGCTCTTAATTAATGAAATGGGGTTGCATCCACTGAACGTGACTACAATATTCCATAATCATTCCTAAGTGGTGATATTAGTGGGTTCAAGCCTCACACTATCACTTTCGATGCTTTCCAATTACTTCAAAAAAAAAAGAAAAGGTGATGATGGCGATTCAATTTTTGCTATTTATATTAATAATAATAATAACAGCAAATGGCAATATAATTAAAAGTAGACAATAAATAGTCGTTTGCTACAAATCAATTTAGAAATAGAAATGTTTAAATAGCTGCAATTTAATCAAATGCAATTGAACGCAATATGCAAATGTATTCCTTAGTTTTTTTTCAATATTTATCGCAATCACAAAATTAATGTCATTTTAAATGCAATAATAATTGCAATTTACAAACAAATTGAACTGAAGTGTCTTTCGTTAGAAACAATTACACAGATACAGAGGTGAACTCGATCGTAGTGGCAACCGGGAAAAACGTCCATGAATTATGTTGCATCCTTTGAGCAGGAAATTTATTTGCGGGTAAACAACAATATAACCTTCAGCAGTGATTAAATGAAAAACCTTGACTTCAAAAAGGAAACAAATAACGAAATGAGAGCATAAATATGCACACTCGTATCTGTGTGAATTTATCTGTATGAGCATAAACCGCACACAGACATAAAATAGAGACAAACGTTCACGCACTGTCAGCGCAAATTTATGTACATAGTGCAATCACATCTATATAAAACCGACGAGTATGTGCAGCTGCATACAAAAATATCTGAGTAAGTATGCCAAGATACTGTTGCACTTTAAACTTTTAGTTAGAAAGCATCAGTGTCCTGTGCGCGATATTCAGGTTCAATTTAATTCACCTTCTCTGAAGGTCTTTTGCTGTTTCATCCGGCTGTCTAGTATACACATACGCAAGGATGACATTGATGTGCAGCTGCAGCAAGGAAGAAACTTAACTGGCAAACAACAGAGTACAGAAAACAAACACACAGGATATTGTATTAACAGATTCATAAGTATTTATAAGCCGAAATGCAAAAAATGTTGTCCTTATGTTTTAAGTATCCTTGAGTTTGTTTACAACTTGTCACAGCTTTGTACTGTCACAATCGTAGGTGAAAATTCTTCTTAAAACACTAATAAAACCACAAATTCTGTGTTAAACTACAGAACTAATTTCTCAATGGTTCAAACCGATTTTTTAGCATGCTACGTATACCTAAAAATATACCTAAAAGTCATGAAGTGTAAATAATTATAATGTATGTTACTATGCATAACGAATCTTTATTGTACATTCATTATTATTTATTTTATTGTTTATTTTTTATAACTAAATTTGTTAACAGCTTCCAATATAAATAGTCCACTTAATGATTTCTTACTGATCACAATCTAAAATCCTTTTAAGGACTTACAATCTAAAACGGTTCAAGGATTGCATAGAACAAACAGAGAATAACCTAAGAATTATTGCATGATTACTAATAGGTCACTGTAGATTGAAGAATCACCTAAGAAAGTTAGGAATCCAAACCAACTCAGACTGCAGATACAGTAAAGAGGATAGAGAAACCGCATACCATGTGCTGGGGAAATGCACGGCACTGATGCACAAGCGAAAAAAACACCTATGAGGATATTTCATGGATTATAAAGAAATTATGGACTTGGAGAAACACTATAATCCGACTAAACCGCACAATAGATGCGGTGTACTATCTTCTTTTTCATAATAATAAAAAAAATACAGTTTCCTTACTAATTGTTTCCAGAATAAGTTGTAATAATATACCGTCCTGAGGAAAAAGTCAAACAAACTTCGATACGTCGAGGATATTTATATGGATAGTAATTATATAAAAAAAAAATAAAATGTTAAAAACCAACTTTAAATTTTTTTAGTCTTTAAAAACAAAATAAAATTGAAAAGCAGTTTAATTTAACTTCAAGAAAGCAAAAATGATGTATTTTATATAAAAATAAATAAATAAATCCAAAATATAAAATATTATATATACGAATATTATACATATATGTATTGATATAAAATACTTCCTTTCTTGACACTGACGTTCCACATAATACAACATCAAGAGCGTATTATATTTTTAAGCATTTATCTAAACAAGTCATCATTCCTTAATTCAGATATAGATACTGTACTGCTAACCAGCTTCAGTTTAGTTCTATATATAATTTTATTGTAATATAGACTAATATCTTCCAAGCTACCAATAGTGACGAATGTGAGAAATATAAATATCTGAGTATTAACTAGACTTTAAAACAATATACATATATTTTCGATCAGAATATATGAAATCGATTTAAAATATTTGACACTTTGTTAAGTGTAGGACAACTCAGGAATAAAATTACAAACATTCATACAATTCGTGAAGATGTCAATATTCTATATGATGCGCACTACACATCTACATATAGGTCTTAGTCTATGCATATGTTACTTATGACCAGTCAGATTAACCTAACCTATATAGAAAGATTTCTTTGATTACTTTTTGTGTGTTAGAGTTGGATTACAGTAGGGATTAAAAATTCCAAATATTATTTATAAGAAAAATAATTTAAAGATAGACTTATAGCACTATAAGTACATATGCCACAACTAATTAATTTTACAATACCACGCTTGAGCTACTACGGAC